CAAATCTCTGTTATTTATAAATATTTTCAAATTAAACTATCTCATCTCTTTACTATTAAACAAAAAAAATGCTTTCTTTTGCTAAAAATACAAATAATATAGTTCTTACCAATCTCTAACTTTCAACTTATCAACATTATCAATATAATCAAAAAAGTTATCACAGCCAATATTGAACAAATATTTAACTCCAACTTAATTCTTAAAAATATTAGAATTATTCATATTAAATCATAGTTAATCAAGATTTGGTCTCCTGATTTGACTCAAAACCTACTAACTATTCACAAGCATAAAGTTAAAAACTTTATACTTATCTTTCAATTTTTCCAATTAGTCTAAAATAATATTATATTATCAAACCTTTATTTAAATTTTTAATATCCAAACTTCTTCTTAAATACTCCTCTAATCTATAATATACTTCTATCAAACCCATATATCTCTATAATTAATAGCTTAAAAAATAATTGTATCTTATTCATTGTGCAGATTACAACTTCTAATAACAGATTTATTCTATTATAGAACAATATTTATCTATATATCAGTAAATCTACAAGACAACAACTTTCATAGTTTACTAATATCCTTTATTTAATACAAAACAACACAGTTACAACAACATGATCACATCTATCCTTACCCTAAATAAACTCCTTCTTTAACACAACTAATCTCTTCTTACCATCACTCTCTACTGACTCTTCATCATTAATATGACTATCTGTTACTATTAACAATATTCTTTTCCTTACATATTTAACCTCTATAACCAAAACTTTAATATATAAACTAACTCTTACTAGTTCAGGCTTTTCTCAACTAACACTAGCAAATTCTCTATCCCCTCAAACTTTCTTCTCCTTTATTCTTCCTTATAATATAACTAACAAACTAAATAATCCACTCCATATTCAAATTGACTATAAAGAAATTCTATCATTAATTGATATATTTAACTTTACTAATTCTACAACTCTCAACCAATTTCACAAATTAACATTTCTATACAAGAAATTCAACTAATATACAATATAATTCAATCAACCATCTATCAATATTAACTTATAAATCATCTTACACTTACTCAAAATCTTATCTCTCAAGATTTCCATTTCTATACTGATATATCAATTCAAAATTTACAATCATCAAATATCAGATCTGGTATTGGCTAGATTTGTGAAAACAATATATCTATTAAATTCAATACTGCTACTATTCTCTATCCTGATACAACTTAAGCAGAACTTGAAGCTATTATTTTTCTTCTTTTTATAATTTCTAATAATACTCATATTAATATTCATTTAGACAATAATACTGCAATTAAAAATCTTAAACAAATATACTATGCTAAATCTATTCAAAATCAAAACTGAGACACCTTATTTCTTATCAACAATATTAAATCTACTAAAACATCTCTTTTATATTACACAAAATCAAATTACATTCTAATTCTCTTCACAATCAAGCAAATTCAATTAATAAGCGAGGAGCTAACAAACCTATATTAGAAATCTCTCAAAACTACACAAATCTACTAACTCACTTTTTATCTAATTCTTTTTAAAATATAAACTTTTATTAAAAATATATATACTATACAAGAACTTTACTCATAGTTTTCACTTAAAATATTTAAAGATGTATCTGAAGTTAACTAGAAATTATGTTTTAATATTTTAAATTTTCTAGAATATAACTTCTCAAAATATTCCTTAAGAATTAAAATTTTAACCAATAATCTTCCTACTATAAAAAATCTTAATATCTGTTACCTCTACTTGTATATTATATTAAACTGTATCTGCTGTTCTAATTTAGAGAATACTTTATATTTACTTCTTTGCCCTAATAATAATATAAATCTTCAATATTCATTAACAGATATAATTACTAATATACTCTCCTTTCTAAAAATAACAATCACACCTTCATTTACAATTCTCAATATTCTTTTACGATTTACACTTAATAATTCAAACCCACTTTATAAGGGTATAGATATTTATTAAGTAATTTTCACCTCTTAAGAGGGTACAGTCAGACCTCTCTAAATGTATATATATGAAAAACCTCTCTAAATATATGTTTTTTCTTGGGCACAACTAATATAACACTTATAGATTTTTATCTCTCTAAATGTATAATCTCTTTAAATGCATATTTTCTCAATTTTTTACTATGGTCCTGATATCATGCATTTAGAGAGAGCTGACTGTACCTCCCACCTGATACTAATTAGCCAATCAAATTTAAGCAAATATTATATAGTCTAATACTTATATTATACAAATATTAATAGTTACTCTATAGTAAAGTCAAAATTTTACTAATTAAATCAATATACTTTATTAAGTAAAAGTTGTTTAAAAGCTCAAAATACATATATTTTAAAAGTATTATCCAAATTAGATAACTTTATATTAATACATTTTTGTATATTACATTTGATAAAAAATTTAAAAATTTCTTTATAATCTAATACTTTATAAATATTAATAGTTACTTTATAGTTAACTCTTTCTAACGATCCTCTAGTCAACAAGTCCAAAAATCTGAATTACAGTCAGCATTATAGAAGACATCAAAGGGTGATAATATACTTGGTTCTACACAAGTAGGTGTGTTGTTGACAAAGTACCAAGAGTGTAAAATCAAGAAGTGGACTACTTTGGATAGTTTTTGTAGAAGTTAAGCTTTCTTGTTAACAGACTCCTCTATTATATTCGGCATCCAAACCAGAAGGATATTTTGGGAACATAAAATGACTAGATCGACACTAAGCATATTAAAAAAACTGAAGATAGTCCCTATATAACTGTAAAACTTACAAGGAAGAACCTATAAAGTTTCGTTAGCCTACCACTTTTTTTAAGAAAATTTTGACAAAAAGTGTGTGTCTCAGTTTACCTCTTCAAAAGATTGACATGTAATTTGCCAAAACAGTTGGTATTGTTTACCTAATCTAAAATAGTTTGGCTCTCCTAAAATGGTTTATTTATTTTTAAGTAATTACAAATCGATGGATGGCCAGATTAAGCAACCGAACACGTCTGAAGGACAACACAATTAGGCAACATGTCTCAACCAAAAGAAACCATTTAAACAATACTTCAAGACTAATGGTGTTTTTATTTTTATATACTACTCTGTCTAGTCTAGTTTAAATCTACTATTTTTCTTTTTTTTCTAGTGTAGATTAGATATATTATTAGGATAGAGTTAGATACAGAGCTTCTTTATCTTGTAATATATAATTTTTGTTAGCCCAATACAGGTTTATAATTATAACTATCAGATTTTTTCTTTTGTTCTTTCTCTTTCTCCCTTTTTAGTATTAGTATTAGTATTAATATTTTTTTTTTTTACTTTCCTATGAGAAGATGCCATCAAATTGGTGATATTCTACTGTAGAGCAGTAGTCTGATATAGCTTTCTAGAATAGGTGATCTTTAGATTTACTGTGATATGTCTCTTGTAGATTTATCTGCCTAGTGCGGCAAGTCGCTTGTAAGTGCTCTTAGAAGTAACTGCGGGATGTTAGGCCTAAATGTTAAGCTTAAAGTATCTTGTACTGCCTGTGACAAGACAATCTTAATAAAGGATCACTAGCAAGACTGCTAAAGTTGAAAAAAAAAAATAGTTACTTCATAGTAAAGTCAAAATTTTACTAATTAAATCGATATATTATAACTGAAATATTCAGTTATAGGGTGGGTTTAGGTCTTTGTTAGGAAAAATTCAAAATGAAGAAGCCTTGTTTTATTAGTTCATTAAAATTTGAGGCAGTGGACGATGCCTTTTACAAGTCTTTTTACAGAACGTTTTTATAAGAAAAACAGTTTACTAACATTTAACTATTTAGTAATTAGCTTATCTCTAAAACTATTTATAATTTCTTCTTGTTACAAATCCGTTTAGCATTTAATTGCTATTCTAACAACATTATGCATAATGATTTATGCATAATGATAATAGTAAAGTAATAATTTTATAAAGAAACAAATAAATAAATAAATAAATATACAAGCTATTAAGTGAAAGGTCTGCCAGTATTATGTGATCGTTGTATGTATTATAGTCACATGATCATCATAGTGTATAATATTTATTACAGCCAATCTTATAATTGTTTTATACATCCCTCCCCTTAAGATGCGAGGTCCTCCGAGCTAGTCAACTAGTGATTTATTCTATCTTAAACTTCTATATATAAAAAATAAACTAATTCTATTTAGGTGTTTTAGGTTCCTTGGTATACACATAACCAGAACTCTATAAACTAACTTAATTCAGAGGTTTTATACTTTGGCTAACTCGTAATCAAAAACTCACAAGGCTAACCTATAGCCAAACTTTACTTTTGCATAGGTCTTATTCCTCACCAGACCAGGCTTTATCATTATGCTCTACAATGACATGCTCAAACTAAAACTAAATCACTTTAACTAAAATTCTTTGCACGCGACTTACAGAACGTATTCACTAAACTAACTTACCAAAATAAACTAAACAATTTACTAATACCAAAACTATAAACTTCACTAAAAATCTAAACTATAAACTTTAACAATTCGCTAAAACTAAAAAAAAAAACTTTAAATTTCCAAATTCTAAAATTTTTTTTTTTTTTTATACTATTATTATTATTACTTAACCTCATATCAAATTTGGATTCGAATATAACTGATAAGTATTTTTAATCTTTGTGCATTTTTTTTTATATTATTTTTACTAATTATTTATTTATTTTAGGAGCTTCTTTTCTTTCTGGCATTATTTTATAAATTCTTTCAGACTTCATGAGAATCGAGTCAGCTTTAGATTTGTTTTCAGAGTTGTATAAGGCCAGATACATATGAATGTGGTTTTCTTTTTATCTTGTTCTTGTGATGTCATCTATGTGATTGTCATATTAGCGTTGGTTGATCATCTACCAACTTTTATCTTTTTATTCGTTCTTACTGATTTTCTTGCAACCTTTTTTCTTATTCTTCTCAGATCAGGTAGGTATTTTTATTATGTTTCTTTTTTCTTTCTCTTTCCTCTTCTTCTTTACTGATCTGCTTTCTTTTAGGTTCAGTTCTTCCGATCTTCATGCCATTGAAAATCTTTACCGGAGTGCTTTCTTATTTCAGGTGTAGATCTTAGAAACCCAAAGAAGTACTTATTTTATTTTTATTTATCTTGTTTTTTTTTTATTTTTTTTTGTACTATTGGTTACTTTTTTTTATTCTTCCGGCTCTTGGTTCAAGATGAAGTTCTGATGTTTTCTTTGATTATTATAGATGGGCTGTTAGGACTTGCAATTTCAGAATTGCAAACTTGAAAGGGACGGGTCGCTTGAATAACGAAATATGGGACTTCAGCTTGAATTAGGACCTGGGACAGAACTAGAACTTGGAAGCCCGGGGGGTTTTTTTTTTTTTTTTCTAAGTTTATTGATACCGAAATCAGAATTTAAAAAGTATTGGGTTTCCTGTGATATAGGCCTTTGATATTGCATTGAAACATAACCGGATGGTTTAAAGATAAGTAGAAGGCTTTGCTTTCTTGTTAACTTTGTTTTCTAACTGTTTTACTAACTACTTTCTTTCTTTATTTTAGATTTTATTTCTTTCCAGTGTTAGATCTTTCCAGTAGCCTTCTAAATGCAAGATAAGTATAGAATCGCTTCTTTGGTTTATTTGATTTTATTTTATTTACTTTGACTAATTTTCTCTATCTATTTAGGATGGTATTTTTGTGAATAATTGCGACATCGAACAAGTTGAGAATTGAGCATATGCAACGAAATATACGAAAAAAGACTTAGATATGAAAGTTTTTAAAATAAGTATAAATTTTCATCTGTCTTTTGTTCTGTTTTTATTTTACTAATACTACACTGGATTTTAGAGCATCAAAAGAGTGTTTAATAAAGAATCGTTGAGTGAAACGTTATTTGACGATTATAAGAATAGAACCGTAAAAAAACACATAGAGCATATAAATCAGGACTTTCAGAACTTAATTTAATAGCATATAGCCATCTTCGACTTGAGTTTCTCTGGGTAGACAACCTGAGGTCTTGTCGTCATCACCAAATGTAACCAAAATATTCAGTTATAGAGTGGGTTTAGGTCTTTGTTAAGAAAAATTCAAGACAAAGAGGCCTTATTTTATTAGATCATTAGGACTTCTATGCATAACGATAATAGTAAAGTAACAATTTTATAAAGAAACAAATAGATAAATAAATAAATATGCAAGCTGTTAGGTGAAAGGTTTGCCAGTGTCACGTGATTGTTGTATGCATTATGGTCATGTGATTGTTATAACGTGTAATATTTAGTACGGCCAATCTTATAATTGTGTTATAATATCTTATTAAGTAAAAGTTGTTCAGAAGCTCAAAATATATATATTTTGAAAGTTTTATTTAAATTAGATAACTTTTTATTAATACATTTTTTGTATATTACTTTGATAAAAAATTTAAAAATTTCTTTAAAATATATATTTGCTGAATGTAAAAAGCAAAAGTTAATTAATAAAAATTATTTTATTTGTATGAAATTTTTAAAATAAAAGGTGTGATAACTTAGAGTAGTGGTTAAGTTGTTATCTTCCAAGCGGCAGGTCTAGAGTTCGAATCCCACCAGAGACATTTTTAGAAAAATAGGCCTGTGTATTAGTAACAATTATTCAACGATCGGTTAGGTATATTACCTGTAATCTTGGTACTACTATCTCGAAATAGAAGCTCTTGGACAATCCAAATTTAAGGAACCAAAATAATTGAAACCCGTTTAGCAAGACCCGAGTAAGGAGGTAGTGAAGATCTTCAACAATACTGCAGAAAAGCCAGAAACTAGAGACTAAAGAACTGAACAAAAACCTTGGAGCAAGAAGGGTTTACCAACCTAGCCACTAAAGTTGCATCGGAGGAAAAGGTCCTATGCTACAGAATTAGGAACCAAGGAAAATAAAACTGAAAGGCACTTAAAGCCTAGGTACAACAACCTATCTGGGCTAACTGGTTTGGTAGTTGGGAAGAGATCAGTATAAAAACCAGTTTGATGTGAGTATTAGGATCAGAATGAACCTTGCAAAGGTACCAAATACTAGAATTGTGTAGTTTAATGGTTTGTCCTGACTGCTAGTGGTGGTTTCGGCTACTGCAGAAGGTATTCATAGCCTAATCTGGAAGTGCGTAGAATATAGAAAGATTAGGGATATGTACTACACTCTTCTTAGAGCAACTCAGTAGTATGAGAACCTTACTGGGTTATCTATAGAATTAGAGCACAAGTAGTATAGCAGATATCAATCTGAGTAGTCTTTAATAAAAAGCAGCATGAGGTTATATGCTGATGTGATTGTAGTGGATAGTACAGTATAGGACAGGAGACATCAGAGAGTTTAAATGAGTAATTCAAATAATAGTAGGTTACAGGTATGGCATCTAGTATAGACCTTAGTAATAGGTAGCTACTTAATTAGGTGCTCAAAAGGTGCAGATATGGCTAGAATGTATTCTCGTTAACCAATAATATACTATTTAAAATATCTAATAAAAATCCGCCTTCACACAACATTGCAAAGGTTAAAAAAAAAAAAAAAAAAAAAAAAAAAATTTAAAATATATATATTTTGATCTTCTGAACAAACTTTACTTAATATACATAATCAATTTACTTAGGGTATAGACATTTATCAGGTGATTTTTACCTCTTAAGAGGATATCACCTCCCCCACCTGATACTAATTAGCCAATCAAATTTAAGCAAATATTATATAGTCTAATACTTATATTATACGAATATTAATAGTTACTCTATAGTAAAGTCAAAATTTTACTAATTAAATCAATATATCTTATTAAGTGAAAGTTGTTTAGAAGCTCAAAATATATATATTTTAAAAGTATTATCCAAATTAGATAACTTTATATTAATATATTTTTGCATATTACATTTAATAAAAAATTTAAAAATTTTTTTATAATCTAATACTTTATAAATATTAATAGTTACTCCATAGTAAAGTCAAAATTTTACTAATTAAATCGATATATCTTATTAAGTAAAAGTTGTCCAGAAGCTCAAAATACATATATTTTGAAAGTTTTATTCAAATTAAATAACTTTTATTAATACATTTTTACATATTACTTTGATAAACAAATTAAAAATTTCTTTAAAATATATATTTGTTAAACGTAAAAAGCAAAAGTTAATTAATAAAAGTTATTTTATTTGTATAAAATTTTTAAAATATATGTACAGTATTTTAATCTTCTGAACAAACTTTACTTAATACACATAATCAATTTACTTAATAAAATTTTTTGTAATTAAGCAAAATCTACTTTTAACTATTTGTAATTTTAAAAATTTTATATAGTTATATTGAACAATTTTGATTGGCTAATAATGATATATTATATAGCACCTGATAATTCTCTGACCCCCTCCTTTTCTAAAAAAATCAGGTGATAAATGTCTATACCTCAACCTTTTCTTATACTATATTATTGGTATTTACCTTCTAATAGTTTATGAAAATATTGAATTACATACAGCAAAACAAACTAAACAATTTTTAACTACTCTATCTAACAACCTTTTAAGCTGGTTTTACAAGGAAATATAGACTACATGAAATATCTCTTAACATCAATAAGAACAAGCCTGAAATATTATCTTCAAAACTAAATGAACTAAATATATTTTACCAAATACTCCTCCACATCAAATATTTCTTTATTAAATATATCTCAAATAGATTATTCTTCTTTTATAGTGAAATAGTTCTTACAAAGCTTTTCTTTAACTAATTATATTTCTTAAATGCTATGATATATACCTTAGGTTTCCACCAACCTACTCTAGCTAATTATTTATATAATAATTAATAAGCACTTTATAGAAAATTAGGTATATAATATCATATTGAGTGTCTTTTTAGTAGTACAAATGTAGTTTAAAATCTTTAAATATAGAATTTTTTTCTATTTTATTAAATAAAGTTTCAACTATAGCATTTAAAAAAAAAAAAACATTCTGCATATTAGCTTTTTTTATATAAACTTTTATATAGCTAATTATTTTTCTTATATTTTATAATATTATACTATTAAGGGTAGGGTGAACTTAGATCATTTGTCATATGATCTTACATACTAAAAATTTTTTATACAAAAATTGAGCATATGCTATTAGTAAAAGTTTTTAAGGCTACAACTAAATTTTACCAAAACTTCATAATATATAGATTAAACCCTTTTCTTTATGATAATAAAGTTTTTGGTCTTATATTATTTAAAAAAAATCCACCTTCATATATCGTTAAATTCTCTCAGGTTGATTGAAATTTTCCTAGGTAACACAAAAATTACTAATTCTTATTGGTTGGATTTCTATTATTTGCAATTCTGATTGGTCAAATCAACGTAAATCATATAATATCATATGATTTGTTATGTAATTACTATTAAAAATGATCTATGTTCACCCTACCCTTAAATATACTAATTATTCTATAGTTTAATTTTATCTTTAAATTTATTTAATTAAATACTCTATTTACTTTTTATCTATTTTCTTTTTTTATATTATCTAAAGAAGTTTTAACTATCACAATCTAGATAAGTCTTTAAGGAACATGACAAAAATCAGATATTTTTTAGAAGGAGGGGTAAAAATTTTAAAATTATATATAAAGACCTGATCAAAATATATATTAAGAGAAGGAGAGGAAGTAAGCTTCTGATAAAAAAAAATTAGATGATAAATGATACTGCCCTAACTACTTTAGTAGGTTTAAGTTATAAATAAAGTAGTTTGAATTTTTATTCTTGCATATAGTTTTTACTTTATATATTTAAAGATTAATAACTTTTTGTAGTTACTATATTAAAAACTATTAATAAAGATATCATCTTAATATCAAAAAAAAGAACTGTATTCTGGAAGTTAATCAATAAAATTAGCTTTTAGCATATAATATATAATATTCGAATATTTATATAATTTTTTCAAACATACTGTATAATAATCTATAAAAAATTAATTAATAAAGAATCTTAATTGGTGATTCGCCACTCAACCAGAGAGTGTTTATAGTATAACGTGATGCAGTTTATATATAGAAATTAGGGTTTTTCGAATGTGACATGCTTATATCTAAAACTTTTTTGTACTAAGTTAATCATCTTTGGGCCTCTAATTGAAGTTGTAGAGCTCGTTGAGACGAATCTAATGGTAGTTGAATCGTCAAAATTAGATTGGTGGATTATGAGATATCTTCAAAAAACATTTCGCTGACTATGTAAATTCTCTTTGACGTTACATAGTCAGCGAAACATTTTTCAAAGATATCTTATGATCCACCAAGCTATTTTGATGATTCAACTACCATTAGATTCGTCTCAACGAGCTCTACAACTTCAATTAAAGACCCAAAGGTGATTAACTTAGTACGAAAAAAAAGTTTTAGATATAAGCATGCCACATTCGGAAAACACTAATTTCTATATGTAAACCGCGTCATGTTACACTATGAGCACTCTCTGGTTGAATGCCGAATCACCAATTAATTTAATATAACATTATACAATCAAAAAATTTTAAAACAACTATTTAAAAAAAATTGTTTTTATCTCAAAAAGTCACTTAAATAATATCCAACTTTAGTTTAGATGCTAACCCTAATATAAACTTAAGGGTAGAGAATACAAATTGTAAATTATATATAAAACTCATTGTATTTATTTTTTCTTTTAAATTTTACAAAATTTTATTAAACCAATTATTTTAGGCTATTAAATAAAATTATAGAGCAGGTTTTTTTAATTCTAATGATAATAAAATTCTTAAAATTGGTTTAATATTTGACAAGATATGATTATTTAAATTTTAGATATCAAAGTTGGTTACAAAAATCATATAATGATCATATAATATCAACCAATCAAAATTAATTGTTTTGTGTAACTGAGACAAATTTGAGCCTACTGAAGCAAACTTTACAACATATAAAAATATAATTTTTTTAAATATTTTATATATTAAAATTTTGCTATTATAAAATGAATGTTTTGTTCTATATATTATAAAATTTTAATTAAAAATAATTACAGCTATAAAAAGTTTTATTAGTAGTATATTTTTATTTTCTATATAAATCTTATTGTACCACTAAAATCACCTGGGGAAGATTGTTAGAAGATAAATCATGTGACTATAGTCCAATCAAATTGAAGCAAACCAGAAAAAAGTAAAACATAAAAAATCTAAAAACACCAGTCATAACCAAATTTGGTGTATTAATAAAAATTGCCGGGGACTTATATGAACACCTCTTAACCCTAAAGTTAATTTGATAAAATATTAATTTATATAAGTTATCTCCGCTTTAGACGTTCTCCAAAAAGGAAGAATGACAAAACGACGATTTAAACCACGGTTCAAACTGGTATCACATAAAAAGAAAGTTTATGTTAAACCGCGATATTTATTTTCTTTTTTGTTATAGTAAATAATTTGGTAATATTCCGTTTTTTCTATTCCCATTTTTGTTAATCTCAACCACTTTTATGAAAACAAGATTGTTAAATAAATAATGTATAATACAAGAGTTGAATAATTGAGACAAGATTATAATAATATAAATATAATTAAACTCAATAATTGGATAACAAAAATGCAAACAAATTCTAAACGTGAAATTATAAAATATAGTAAATAAAAATGGTTGAGATTAATAAGTGATAAAAAAGGGAATTATTTGTATAATGTATACATAAATATACGCAGGAAATGAATGAAAGTAGCTTATGTGCACATGCATATTGTTTTCTTAACAATTATTGATTTTTTCCAAGTCCATCCGGGTTGATATTCGAGTAAGGTCGACTTATATTAACAAAAGCGAATCAGGTCTAACAAATATACCGTGATTAGGTGCAGCCGAGAAATACTTTCTGCTAGCTACAATACCATTATTTTTACCAACTATAAAAAAGAAAAAGAAAATTAGAATTAGGTGAACATAACATAATAGCTAATTGGAATCTAGAACTTACCAGGGTTATCTAATTCTACACCCACCCAGATTCCTTTAGCAAAATCGGTTTCACCTAGGAATTGTATACAGCCTGGAGCATTGTTCTTTGTTGGAAGTATTATACGTCTTCCTACAGAAATGTCTGCAGAAGGATTAGTAGCCAATTTAAGTTGATGTGGCTTAGGTTGCAAGCTGGTAATGACTCCATTTGAACTAGATGTGGTTGAAATTATAGACGGAGAGCGGTTCCTTTTGTGATGAGAAGAGGAGGTCGTTGTGACTGACGAAGTTGATGCAATAGAACTGGCTCTAGAAGATTTTGGTGTAACATCTCGTTCTCGCTCGCGACCTCGTCGCTGTTGAGCATCATCATATTTGAGTTGTCTTAACATGCTAGAACGAGTTTGTCGTACACCGTTAAATCGTGATGGTGATACGGATGGTGAATTAACTGACTTTGCAGAAGAAATTGAACTTGTACGTGACGAGGTAGCAGATGTAGCTTGTTTGGTAGTAGACCGTCCTCTTGGTGTAGCAGGAGATGTCTTGGGAACTCGAAGACTAGACGATGACGATGAATTTCGTAGGGTACGATCAGTTTTATTTGTAGTGGTAGATGTTGTTGTTTTAGTCGTTTTTGCGGTTGAGTTTGCTGACGAAGGCTTCGGCGGTATTGACGTACTTTTTATCCGCGGCTTTACAGGATTTTTTGCTGAAGATTCTGCCAATGCCTTTTGACGTAAAACACTAGCACGAGTTGGTCGATCCCACATAGGTGTATCACCAACAATGCGTACATTTTTTACCCTTTTAGTTGCAGTAGTTCGCGTAGTTTTTTCTGTCTCATTACTAGTTGTTGATGATTCAGCGGAAGATTTGACATCATTAGGGATCACAATTTCTGGAATCGATTTTGTGTTTTGACTTGTAACATTGCTTGATGCCGTTTGTTCCGTTGGCGTTGTTGTAGCCGTTGTAGCCGCTGTAGCCGTTGTAGCCGTTGTAGCCGTTGTATCCGTTTTAGTCGTTGTAGTCGTCGTAGCAGTAACTGTAACCTTTGGAGGAGGTGATACCAAGCCTTTTTTAGATAATCCATTTGTTGCACTAGGTGTTCTAGTTCTTGGTTTTGGAGTTTGAACTTGAGCCGGAACTTGGGTCGAATCAACGAGTGCCTGTAACTCGCTTCGGTCTACATTTAGTTCTTTTTTTAAAAAAATGGGTGTATGTATGTATATTATATACATATATAATAATAACGAACATGTTATATGGATTTATAAATATCTTTTTACAATAGTAAACGTTCTCAGAAATAAAACCTTACCTTTCACAAATTCGTCCAATAACCATGGACTTAGTAGCCTGAAACCACCATACTGTTTCACTCCTAACCATCGTTTTTTCATATAATTAAAGACATTCTGTTTTGACTGTGTAAGCAATCTTTTTGCTTCTACGTTCTCCGCACTCAAAACAGCAGGTCTAGTTAATAATTTTCCAGTAATACATTTGAGGATGCGTGCAGAATTTTGTTCCGTCAAACTTTCTTCAACTACTATATTCATAATGTCCTCTAAAATATCTGAACTAAATCCAACACCATCCACACAATTTAAAAATTCTTGATCTTCATCACAAATTTGCTCGAAATTATCAACCAAAATTTTAGCCGCATATGATCTAACCTCATTAGTCATACGACGAACAGTCTCTATCCAAGGCAGACCTATCCCTTTTATGTCAATTACAGAAATAATATTTCGACATCCTTTGAAGGTGGCAATGACATTATTTCTTTGAATATTTGCAAGTAATATCATGAGAATTTCCTCTCTAGTATCCTCATCAAGATTTGCAAACTCTTTATTAGGCCACATGCTGTCGAATCCTTGAGATAAAGCATGTAGACATCCTTTCCATAATTTCTCGACATCGTGCTCTTTAGCAAATGCCGCCACCCTAGGCATAACAATTTGACATTCACCACAGGTACATTTAAAAAAATGCACTTTCGTTGCAATACGATAAATACATTCTTCACAAAGGATTTTTATATTTAAAAAGTCCGCACCAATCCACACCCATTCGCAAGTTTCTAAAGTTAAAGGTTTTGAAGAAGATGAAAGATTACCAGTATAAATGAAAGTAAGAATCAAATTGATTGAAGTTGGATTAAAAATTGACGCATCAAGTCTGATAGCGGAATTACGTGCTTCAATGAAATCAGAGCTAAGCATTTTTTTGAAATATTCAGACCTTGATGACAACATAAAACGATGGGCTCTAATTACTATAGGTTTGAAAACTCCCTCATCTTCGTCCTCATCAATAATTTCAAGATCATCCTCCATAAATTCTAATATCAACTCGACATCTGTATATAATTTTGATTTAAGCATGTATAATAAATCATCTTTTAGCTTGTCTTGTTCGAGTTCATCTGTAGTATCGACGGCTTGTAAAAAATCTTCACTGCCTTCTTCAGCAGTATAAAAAAATTTTAATTCTTGTCTAAATAAGAATGGATCCGCATCAGTCTTCACTGTAACCGGGTCCGTATTGGATAACCGCATGGACCGTATAGACATTCCATTCGCATCCTTATTTTTCAAGAAACGTTCTTGAAATGATCGTGAACTTCGAGCATATAAAATGGCTAGAAATTAAATAAAACAAAGATAATTGATGAATATTTGAACATATATATCTATATAATAGAAGCTATATTATTAGAATAATTTTTTTTTTTTTTTTTGTTGCCAAAATTGTCGACACAAAAGAATATATGGGATATTAATATCTTAAGTTTTTTCGAAACAAAAGAATACACTAGTCAGGGTTACGGTATAGTAATAAAATATAGGAATAGAGCAATACCTTTGTGTGCATAGATGATAGTCGGACTAGGCGCCAAAGTGAATTCCCATGCTATATCAGCATATAACTCTTTTGCATGTTCAAGCGCGTATCTTAAATCTTCAACCAAAGTATCTTTTGGTCGAGTGGTGAAATCTAAACCTTCAGGCAGAGGCAAGGCGCACTTCTTTTTCTCCGAAGGCATGGATTGACAGAATTACTGCATAGAACGAGTGAAATGTTGAATTTTATGAAGTGTGTTTCAAATTATATCATACGCAAATCGGAAGATAAAAACTTTAGGGTTTAGAGGTTCTATACTTTGTTTATCGTCAAAAGACGACTGCAAGTCACTCTTTTCCTTTCCTGCACTCATGCCTACACAAATAAGGAACTTAAATTTTTTTGTCAGACATGCATGGAACATATTATCAGGCAAATCTAAATTTACATTTGTTATCCGTTGAATCAATGTAAATGTTAAACCAACAGCTTGGAATACCTTTCTATTTGATTTCTATATATGACAAAATTGAAGGCTTAAATATAGTGAAGATGCATAAACGCTCCAGTGATTCTTAGAGAAAGCATTTACTTTGATCTTCATAAGTATATATTATATACATATTTTATTAACAGTTTTGCGATAATTATAGCGTTAAAAAAAAAATTTAACGTTAATAGACCAAATTTAGAATATAAGTTATATCTTTAATTATATATTGATGTTTAAAAAATGTTTATTTAATACGAGATGCTCCTAAAATCTAAAATTCCGAGTCACATTAAAACTTTTTTACTAATTAGGTAAACGCGAACGGACCCAGTATTTTTTAGTGGTTTTTAATGGGTATAAATATAGTGTTTCACAATGGATACCTGAACTAAGCCTGAACTAAAATGTACGTACGAATGTTAACAGTTAACTGTTAATGTACGTACGTACAACCCTGCTCCATAAGACCTCCCTTTTAGCCTTTTAGCGTTAGAGTGCACTAACAACTATTAAACAACACGCCTTTAAATCATATGTAATTACATAATCTAAAGAACATCATAGTCACATGGTCTTTTATATAAACCACGAACTTCAATTGATCGATCTGTTTTTTCAAATGAACTTCACAAGCTACAATAGCAGACGATCTACGAACACGAACTACCCCAGCATCGCCGTCAAAATTTCACTGTCACGTGATAGTGTGTGGCACGACCGGCGTTATAAATTCAAAAAAATTTTTACTGGCGCAAACGCAAAAAAAAAATATGCAAAAAAAATTTTATACACGCTTTACATATACGGAGAGCGCTGATATATGCGCAAATATAAACCTGTGTATGCTGCGCCCAGTGTTTAAAATTCAAAAATAAAATCATTTGCACAAATGCATTTTGTGCAACTTTTTTTAGAAATTTTACTTGCACACTTAAGAGATTTTTTAAAAATCAAAAAAAAAAATTAAAAAAAACTCTTGCACATGTGCGCGGATCCAATTTGCACGACTTCGTATTATTTTTTTTATTTTTTTACAAGTATTTTTAATTAATATAACTATTTAATATATAATATTTATTAGAAAAAAACTAGTTGTCGCCGGCGGTGATACGGTGACAGTTATAATGGCCAATCACATCATGTAACGGAATCAAAA